AGGGCAAGGGAGGGGAGGAGGGGGGGAGAGGAGAGGAGAGGAGAGGAGAGGAGAGGAGAGGAGAGGAGAGGAGAGGAGAGGGAGGAGGCCCTTAGAGTGGACCAGGGTCTGGGGCTGGGACCCTGACGACAGAGCGAGAGAAGGACCAGCGGAGCACAAGCTCAAGGTCTGTCTCAGGGGAGCCTGTCTCCTAAGAGCCAAGAAGGCTCTGGCCTCAAGGGGCACCAAGGAAGCTCCGCTGCACTGAAGAGAAGGCTGTGTGTTCACACAAGACGTCCCCATTACATCCTTCACAAATCACGGTCTGTGGGTTCTGTGTGTCCCTGCAATGGACCATGAGAGGAGGGCTGCATGAGAGGGGGGCTGAGGACGTCTGGCCTGCTCCCCTTGGGAATCAGCCTTGGTCTGACCATGGCTGGCGTTACCCCTTGAGCTGGACAGGTCCTGACGCTGCCATAACCACCGCCATCTCGGGGGCTATAAGCCCTGACAGGTTCGAGGAGAGATGGACAACCCCTTCACACAGCCGGGGCTGCTCTGAGGAGGGCCCCTCAGACAAGGCCACACTGCCCCGTGGCCCCTACGGCGTGGCCTTACCTGGGGGCGGGTAGCACTGCAGCAGGCGCAGGAGCTTCACCGAGAGCCAGGGGGCCGGGACAAAGTAGTAGGTGTAGTCCTGGAGGTCTGTGGACGCCGAGGTCACGATCTGAAAGGGACAGGGTGGCACAGGCTTCGCACGCAGGAGGCGCAGCCACAACGCCGAGCTCGAGCCAGTAGCCCCAGAAGAGCAGGCGCTGGCCTGGCGGCTCCACCTGTGTGAGGCTCCGAGGACGGGGAGAGGGAAGCTGCAGATAGAGGTGCATGGCCAGGGACCCCCTCACCAGAGGACATCCAGGTGAGGAAGCGGTGGCCTCGGGGGATAAGGGAAGGGCCTGGGGACAGGATCTGGGCAGTGGTCACAGGGGACACTCACTACCTCTCACTGTTCACAAACACTTGGAGGGAAGGCCAGCGAGGAGGGAGCACTGGAAAGCAGAAGGCCATCCCCAGCCACGGGGCTCCCCGCAGTGGACTCACCCTGCTCAGTCGAGAGACAGCCAAGGAGACCGAGGTTTTAAACTCTTCTGGGTTCTTCTGGGCTAACGTGGTGATCAGACTTGTGGCCGCTGTCACTACACCCTGAAGGGAAAATACACACAGTATGTACTTTGAATCCAATCACAACACTTGTAGCTGACCATCCTAAACCCCCTTTCCTCATGAGAGCCCTGAGCCAGGGACCCACAAGTCATCTCTGATCTCAACACAGGGGGCTGGCTGGTTCACTGTGTACCCAAGGGCAATAGACAGCACACAGGCCAGTTTCAGCCCTGGGCCTTCATGGAGATCAGCCATCTGTGTGAGGAAGCCCTGGGAGCAGCCCTGCATGGCCACGCCACTCTCTCCACTGTCTTGCTATCTGTCACTGGGTCACCTGTCTGCCCGGCCCCATCTGAAGTCATTCTATGCTGGTCACAGAGGGCGGCCCTTTCTTCCTACTCATCGGAACCTTCCATTCCAAACAGGCCAGAGAAGGCATCTTCAAAGGATCCTCCTCCTCCTTTGGGGGAAGCGGGCCAGGCTGCGTCTCTTCAACCCCATTCCCAAGGACCCCGCAGGCTTAGGGGAGGTCGAACCTGCCCCAGGACTGCGATAGAGGGGTGGGGCTTACAGGCTCTGAGGGCGTGGAGGACAGCGGCCTTGCCTGCCCCCCGCCCCCCCCCCCCCCCCCCCCCCCCCGGCCATCCCTCCCCCCTCGCACGCACGAGGTGCTGGTCGTTGAGGAGGTGCACCACTCGGGACGTCCAGTCGCCCATGGGCACGAGGTCGGGAGATGTTCGGTACAGGCGCAGCAGACACAGGGCGGCGCTCTGCTTCACACTGTCCATGGTGTCCCTGAAAGAGAAGGCCCTGCTGAGTGCCACTAGACAAGCCAGAGGACCCTGAGCAACACCCCCACAGGGGACCTGTCACCAGGAAGTCCCCAGTGCTCATGCCCCACCGTCCCAAGGCCAAGTCTGCTGCCTCCTGACTCGAAGAGCAGCTCTGCTCCTCCCGCTGGAGAACACACCCACCCACGGGGCAGAGGGCGCCTGGGGACACCCGCCCGCCTGACGAGGGCAGGCCCTCTGTCCTCAGGCACGCAGACCTGCCTCCTCTGCTCCTCAGCCCCTGCTCGCCCTGCTGCCCAGACGCCCTGCTGCCAAGCGGCTCTGCTCCCTCAGGGACACCAGCGGCTGGGCATGTGCGCACAGTGTGTGGGCAGTGGGTCAGCTCACAGCTGGACACAGGCCCCGAGGAAGGCCCAGGTTCAGTACGGCCTAGCGGCGGGAACAAGAAAGACTCGGGGCTGTCTTTACCTAAGCCCCCACTTCTAGCTTTTGATTCTCACAGCTTCCCCAACCCCACTATTCCTGAGAGACCCCCTGGGGAACGTGGGAAGAACCGCTCCCCATGTGGTTCCCCACTGCCATGGGGTGGGTTGTGGGTACCTGACCTGCCCACGGCCCCCAGGACCACACTGCCCAAGAGCTTCCCCCATGACCTCCAGGCTCCCCGTGGCTGCTGCCACTCTCCTTCACACAGACCCCAGCACCGAGAGGGTACCAATGCTACCACAGGCCACAGAAGGAGTGGAAGTGGGGGTACTGGGGAGACCACACACGTCTCATCCTGTCATCCTGCCTGACTCCGGGCACAGGAGAACCCCAGCACTGTGACTGCCGGCCTCCTCGCCAGACCCTAGCACCATCAGTGAGTTGAGCCCTGGTGGGTGCGTCTCTTCAAGCTGGCACCTGGACACAGTGGTCCCGAGGTTCGACCACAGGGACCCTGGCCGACAGGGCAGAGCCCCCTAGGCCCCAGTGTGCTGCTCATCCGGCACCTTCCCTGTGGCAGCTTCTGGTGCCCACTCTGGACGCTCAGCGCTCACCCACTCAGCCTTCTCGAGCCTGGGACCTGTGCCGGATGCCAGGGACAGATGCGTGGCCCAGGGCTCCACACAGACCAGCACGAACCCCGGAGGCAAGGAGGGGAGGGTGAGTTAGGGACAGCGAGGAGCCGGGACAGGGAGGAGCCGGGCAAGGTAGGGGCTGCGCTAAAGGCCTCGGAGCAGCCTCCCGACTCCCTCCTCTTCCTGTTTAACCCTGCTCCCGCTGTGCTCAGCTCTCCGTCCAGGCAACACCAGGCCTGTGCCTCTGGTTTAGCTGGTGGACATGCAGCAGCAGTGCCAGGGAGTCTGCAAGGTGACCTGAGTGGGCTCAACTGGCTTCTGGTGACAGGCCAGGGGCCAACAGCCACTGTGCCACTGCTCCTGGTACCACTCAGCCTCGGGTGGTGGTGTCATGGGACCAGGCGCCCACCTGCACAATGTACTCAGCTGCCCCGCCCCACCCATCCCCACCCCCACATCCTTAGGAGACACAAACAGCCACGTGAGATGCTGCCCGGGACACACACCCCGCCACGAGGATCTTGGGGATCTCCCCGGCGAAGGCCTCGGCCATCTCACGGCTGCCCACGTTGGCGATGCAGTGCAGCGCCAGGCCCATGAAGGTGGGGTTGCGGCTGGCCAGGTCATTCTTGATGGCGTTGTTGATGAGCCGGATCAGCTCCGAGTTAGAGTTCACCAGCACCGAGATGAACAGGTAGCCCTGGGCACCGGCAGAGAAGAGAGCTGCTCAGGAAGGCCCGGACGGTGCCCAGCACATGACGGCCTAGCGTAGTCACCTGCTGGAGCCACCTGCCCTGAGTGGAGGAAGCGCTCAACCTGCTGCAGGGCACACAGAGAAGCTTCACCGATCGATCGAATCCCTGGGTCCCCAAGGAGCCACAGGTTACAGGAGTGCTTCCCACATCAACAAGTGTGCGTGTCCTGTGTCGCTGAGGAACCTGGCTGGCCTGCTGGCCTCCACATCTGAATTCATGTGTGTTTCTCCAGCCTTCCATGTCCCCCGCCCGTGGAAGAACCCCACTCACCTACCCAGCCTTCTCAGGAGGCCATAGAGGCACACCTCCCACACCTCCATCCAGCCCTTTCTGCTCTCCTGCCCCATGCCCACCCTGCTCAGTTTGCTACACGCCCTCACCTCTCCCCCGTGGGTCCCTGCTCCCTCTTCCCAGCCCAGCCCTCCCCTCCTGGACTCCCAGCTGTCCCTCTCGGGGCTGTCTGGAGGCCCAGGCCTCCTCCTGCAGCAGGGCCGTGTCAGACCCCATGCCAAGACTGGGTGAGCTCTGGTGGACAAACAGCTATAGCTCTGAATCCCAGGGGCACCCTCTTGCCTGTTCTAACAGAAGGAAATGTCACTTTCTGGGACTGGGCACAACATGCGGAAACCTGGTCACCCAGGAGAGTGCAGGCGCAGAGAAAGGTGGGGCTGCTTGGGAACCAGCGCACCTGGGGAACCAGTGGCCTGCAGCCTCCAGAACCAAGCACCGGGGAGCACAGCCTCGAGGGCCCCACCCCTCTCTCTAGAGGCTGGCCCCAGGGCCCACCCCACAGGTGGGCTCCACAGCACCAGGCCAGCCCTCCAGGCACGGAGCAAAAGTCTGCAGAGACTCAAGCTAGAGAGAAGGAAGGAGCAAGGGGCGACCTCGCTAAACACCCGTCCTGCCCTGTGGCACCTAGAGCGAGGGGAGGCCCGCTGGGCGTCTGTCTGCAGAAGACGGCTTCAGAGGGAGGGAGGACTGTGGCGGGCACGCCAGAGCCTGGAACTCACGATCTGCTTCTCCGTGTATCGGTTGGAGCTGAGCAGGTTCACGGCCTCCATGTGCCCAAAGTCAATGTCGTGGCCCAGCAGGAAGATGAAGAGCAGCTTGCACACGTACTTCTTTTTGCTATAGCCATCGAGAGCCTTGTCACCTACACGAGAGAAGGGCAGGAGGAGAGGGCTCAGCCAGGGGGCAGAAGCGCTTCCCACAGGGCAGAGCAGCCTGTGTGGCTGCTACTTGCCCCCAGAGCACAGGCCACAGGCGGTGGCGCCCTCTCAGGGCAGGGGCAGAGCTCAATGAGGGTCTGGTTCAACTTGGCCGACTGTCCTCCATGAAACTCCCAGGGCAGTGATCCCATGCCACCAGCATGTCTCCTTCCTTGGAAGAGCCCTTGAGAACCTCAGTCCTTCCAGCAGCAAGCTGACAGATCACTCACAAGGCCCAACAGGTAGAAAATGCAAACCCAGCTGGGCCCGCCTCCTCCACCCCATCACTTCCTGCTGAGGTCCTTGTCAGGGACCCCAACCAGCCTTCCAGCTGCCAGATGGTCTCCGCTCCTCCCAGTGGGCCGAGGCCCTCCAAGGACCAGCTCAGAAGCTCCCCTTCCAGAAGCTGCTCCCACCACACACATGCCTCCCTCCACGAGGGGAGACGTCTGTGAGTTCAGACAGAGGGAGGTCGAGCGATGCTCTGCTCGGCCCTGGGGACATGGAGGACCTGGCCCTCTGCCAATGTGCTGCGCTCCCGGGTGCTGGAAAGACACCCAGCAACAAGCACAGAAGGCTCTGAGCAGCCCGCAGAGAGGGCGGGCAGCAGAACTCCTGAGAGACCCAGGGTGCGTAACCAGTCCATGCCAGCTCAAACGCAGTTCCAGGGGTTCACCAAGTTGGAGGTGGGACAGAGAGTGGCCTCTAGGTAGCACCCACAGGCCCACCTCCTCAGGGCCAGCTGGCAGGAACGTTTCAAATCATCAGTGCCCAGGGCACAGCCTCAGGCTGGGGGGGGGGGGAAGCCTGCAGGATAAAGTGAGAAAGGGCTCAGGATACCACCCAGCCACTCATCCCTGGCCTGGCAAAGGACCACTGCCCAGTGCAACACCTCACCCCTCTGCAGGCCCTGCAATGCCCACCTCACGCTGCCTGGTTTGCCTGCATCTCTGCTCAGTGGCACTTGCCCTGCAGGCTAAAGCTGCCTCGGGGATGTTCCCTTGGCCCTGGGGACCCAGCAGTATTCCCAGCACCATCTAACACCCTTCGGAGTCAGCGTTCCTCATTACCTGGCTGAGCGCTGGGCTGCCCCACGTCTCAGGACCATGGGGTCTAGGCGGATCGCAGACCTTCCAGCAGGTCAGGGGCCCACTCTCCCTATGTGGAAATAGCAGTTTCAGCCTGCCCTTATGACAACCTCCACCCTCGGGGATCAGAAAGTTAAAGTGGCAGCTGGAGCAGGTGGGTACACCGGGACCTGGGCCTGAGCCTCTAGCCCACACCCCACTTTGCTGCCATTCTGTGACCAGGACACTTCAGCCATGCTGCTCTGCCCCTGGCTGAGCCGCGGCCAGTAGGGGGTGAGCGGGAGTCCAGCCCAAGAGTGGGGGTGCCAGAGGGCCTCGCCAGCACCAGAAGTCAGTGTCTGCCACACAGCGCTGGCAGCCCCGAGAGCAGTATGTGGAGAGGGCTCATGGGTACAAGTGGCAGCATTAAAGACACAGCCCCAATAAATTGATTTAAAAAATTTTTTTTTAATTTTTAAAAAATTTTTTAAAAAGACACAGACCCCATGCTCACCTTTAAATTTCGATCGAATGTTTGCTAGCTCCTTATTGATCCTCTTTATTTCTGCTTCTTTGCTTTTGCCTGGAAAAGAGGAGGCAGCACATGCTCACTCAGATGTATGTATACAGCCACGCCACGCCACG